GCCTTTGACAAGGTTGGGGTCCAGGCTAGCTTGGCAAGTTGGATCCAAAATTGAGTTAGTGGTAGGAGATGTGGTGGTGGTGGTAGAAGACTTTGAGTGACAGGAGGTTGGTGTCCAGTGGTGTACCACAGGGATCAGTGCTGGGTCCCTTATCATTCATTTTATACATAAACAATATAGAAGAAAATGTGATGGGGATAAGTAAGTTTGCGGATGACATGAACTTTGGCCGGGTGGTTCACAGTGAGGAACGTGGTCTTAGGTTACTTGAGAATACAGACGGGTTAGTCAGATGGGTAGATCAGTCACAGATGGAATTTAACCTGAAAATTGAGGTGGTGCTCTTTGGAAGAAGTAACAAGGCATTGCAGCACTCAAAAGAATGGCAGACACTACAAAGCTCAGAGGGAGAGGGATCTTGGGGTGCTTGTCCCTGAAGGCAGCAGGACAGGTTAATAGTATGGTTAAGGTGGCAAATAGGGCAATTGCCTTTATCAGTTTGGCAGAGATTATAAGAGCAGAAAGGTTATGTTGGAGTTGTCCAAACTTTTGGTTAGGTCACAGATGGAGTACTGTGTGCAGTTCTGGTTACTGCACTATAGGGAGGATTGTGCTGGAAGGGGTGCAGAGGAGATTCACCAGGATGTTGCCTGGAATGGAGTAATTTAGCTATGAAGAGAGGCTGGGTAAGATCGGGTCGTTTCCTTTGGAGCTGAGAGGGAATACCTGATTGAGGTGTATAAGACTATGAGGGACATGGGCAGGGTGGATTAGAAAGCAGCTGTTCTCCTCAGTTGAAGGGTCAAACACAAGGTACATAATTCTAAGATGGAAGGCAGGAGGTTGAGGAGATTTGAGGGAAAATGTTGTCACTCAGAGGGTGGTGGAGGTCTGGAATGTACTGCCTGGGAGGGTAAATAGAGACTGGAAACCCCAACCTTTAAAATATGCTTGAATGGGCACTTCAAATGCCGTAACATTCAAGGCTACGGGCCAAGCACTGCAAAGTGGGACTCGTGTTGATTTGGCATAGTGCAGACTCAGTGGGCTGAAAGGCTGCTTCTGTACTGCATGATTCTATAATCCCTAAAGTCCATTAGTACTGCATAGAATCCATTAATTCTAAAGTCACTCTTCAAAAAACTGCCTTTAAAAGAAATCACCTAGTGATAAAAATATTTAAATTAATTATTAACTTTAGACTGCCAGTTACTAACTCAAAAACTAGAAACCCAAACTCACAACAAATGACATTAAAAATTATACATATAAACTCCACAGTTTATGTCACAGTATACAAAGTGAGATTCACAGCCCAACAGATTGCTAATTAGTTTGAGGAATTGTAACTGTTTGTGGGTGTCACAGGTCATCAGCCTGACAACAACTCTGATTGGCTGCTAGATAGCTGAAGAGCTTGCAGTTGTAAATGATACAGTGAGAAGCTCCCAGACCTTTGGTGTGTCTCTCCCTCCAGACATCTGAAGAAAGCCAGTTATTTTCTCTTACTAGTTGCTATAAGCTGGGATCTTTAACCAGCAATTAAGAAACTTTGCAGTTAGTATACCAACTGTGCCTCCTGTGAAGAAGCAAAAAGAACAGAAGGTCCTGGCAAACAAAAGGATCATCTCAGCAAATGATGTGCATTAGTGCTATTGAACTGTTTTCCCAGTACTTTTTCTTCTTTCCGCTATTACACCAATATTTTTTGTCTGTCTGCATGTGTGTATAAAAAGGTTTGAGAAGGGGCTTAGAGTTTTAACTAGTAGAGTTATAATTCAACAGTTCATAGCTGCTTATCTGTGGTTAGAATCTGTTTATTTGTAATAAATACTGGTTTTGTTAAGTACAGAATCCTGGTCCATGTTTTCTGCTAACTCAAATCTATCAGACAGGTAAATTGGGGACTTTGATATTTCTTTTTTAAAGTTTTGTAGTGACTCCAGGAAGAATGGGGCTTGATTTCCAGCTTCCGATCCCAGTGAGGTGTAACAGTATGCCACTTCAAATGAGTGGAAATTATTAGACTTAAAGTGGGTAGAAATATTAATTTTTCCTTGGTTTACTTTCTACTACTGACAAGTCTGTGGATCAATTCATTTATATCGAATCACCAAAATGACCTTGGCATTTTCTGTATAAAATACAGTTATTTCAAGTAATACAGAATGACATTCATACTAACAAAGGAACCTTGCTGGATTATAGAACATAGAACATAGAACATTACAGCGCAGTACAGGCCCTTCGGTCCTCGATGTTGCGCCGACCTGTGAAACCAATCTGAAGCCCATCTAACCTAAACTATTCCATTATCATCCATATGTTTATCCAATGACCATTTAAATGCCCTTAAAGTGGGCGAGTCTACTATTTTTGCAGGCAGGGCATTCCACGCCCTTACTACTCTCTGAGTAAAGAACCTACCTCTGACATCTGTCCTATATCTATCACCCCTCAATTTAAAGCTATGTCCCCTCGTGCTAGCCATCACCATCCGAGGAAAAAGGCTCCCACTGTCCACCCTATCTAATCCTCTGATCATCTTGGATGTCTCTATCAAGTCACCTCTTAACCTTCTTCTCTCTAACGAAAACAGCCTCAAAACCCTCAGCCTTTCCTCATAAGACCTTCCCTCCATACCAGGCAACATCCTGGTAAATCTCCTCTGCACCCTTTCCAATGCTTCCACATCCTTCCTATAATGCGGTGACCAGAACTGTACGCAATACTCCAAGTGCGGCCGCACCAGAGTTTTGTACAGCTGCAACATGACCTCATGGCTCCGAAACTCAATCCCTCTACCAATAAAACCTAACATACTGTACGCCTTCTTAACAACGCTATCAACCTGGGTGGCAACTTTCAGTGATCTATGCACATGGACACCGAGATCTTTCTGCTCATCCACACTACCAAGAATCTTACCATTAGCCCAGTACTCTGTATTCCTGTTACTCCTTCCAAAGTGAATCACCTCACACTTTTCCGCATTAAACTCCATTTGCCACCTCTCAGCCCAGCTCTGCAGCTTATCTATGTCCCTCTGTAACCTGCCACATCCTTCCGCACTATCCACAACTCCACCGACTTTGGTGTCATCCGCAAATTTACTAACCCATCCTTCTACGCCCTCATCCAGGTCATTTATAAAAATGACAAACAGCAGTGGCCCCAAAACAGATCCTTGAAGTACACCACTAGTAACTGAACTCCAGGATGAACATTTCCCATCAACCACCACCCTCTGTCTTCTTACAGCTAGCCAATTTCTGATCCAAACCGCTAAATCACCCTCAATCCCATGCCTCCGTATTTTCTGCAATAGCCTACCATGGGGAACCTTATCAAACGCTTTACTGAAATCCAAATACACCACATCAACCGCTTTACCCTCATCCACCTGTTTGGTCACCTTCTCGAAGAACTCAATAAGGTTTGTGAGGCATGACCTACCCTTCACAAAACCGTGTTGACTATCCCTAATCAAATTATTCCTTTCTAGATGATTATAAATCCTATCTCTTATAATCCTTTCCAACACTTTACCCACAACCGAAGTAAGGCTCACTGGTCTATAATTACCAGGGTTGTCTCTACTCCCCTTCTTGAACAAGGGGACAACATTTGCTAGTCTCCAGTCTTCTGGCACTATTCCTGAAGACAATGACGACATAAAGATCAAAGCCAAAGGCTCTGCAATCTCCTCTCTAGCTTCCCAGAGAATCCTAGGATAAATCCCATCCGGCCCAGGGGACTTATCTATTTTCACACCTTCCAGAATTGCTAACACCTCCTCCTTATGAACCTCAATCCCGTCTAGTCTAATAGACTGTATCTCAGTATTCTCCTCGACTACATTGTCTTTTTCCCATGTGAATACTGACGAAAAATAATCATTTAGCACCTCTCCTATCTCTTCGGACTCCACGCACAACTCCCCACTACTGTCCTTGACCGGCCCTAATCTTACTCTAGTCATTCTTTTATTCCTGACATACCTATAGAAAGCTTTAGGGTTTTCCTTGATCCTACCTGCTAAAGACTTCTCATGTCCCCTCCTGGCTCTTCTTAGCTCTCTCTTTAGGTCCTTCCTGGCTAACTTGTAACTCTCAAGCGCCCTCACTGAGCCTTCACGCCTCATCTCTACATAAGCCTCCTTCTTCCTCTTGACAAGAGATTCAACTTCTTTAATAAACCACGGTTCCCTCGCTCGACCACTTCCTCCCTGCCTGACAGGTACATACTTCTCAAGGACACGCAGTAGCTGTTCCTTGAACAAGCTCCACATTTCAATTGTGCCCAGCCCCTGCAGTTTCCTTCTCCATCCTATGCATCCTAAATCTTGCCTCATCGCCTCATAATTGCCTTTCCCCCAGCTATAACTCTTGCCCTGCTTTATATATTGATCCCTTTCCATCGCTAAAGTAAACGTAACCGAATTGTGGTCACTATCACCAAAGTGCTCTCCTACCTCCAAATCTAACACCTGGCCTGGTTCATTACCCAGTACCAAATCCAATGTGGCCTCGCCTCTTGTTGGCCTATCTACATACTGTGTCAGGAAACCCTCCTGCACACATTGGACAAAAACTGAGTACAGTACATATGAAGAGAAATGAAAGACTACACAGAGGGGGAGGCAATGGTCAGAAAAACATTTCAAAGGATGGAATTCTGTAATCAAGAAGTTGAATCCCTGCCAAAAAATTTTTATCCCTGTTGTAGGCAAAATAAGAACTATTTATATAGCAATTATCAGAGCCCAAGGATGATCAAAACTGATTTTTTATCAATCACCTTCATGCTTCTTTGACTATGTACACCAAATTATTTCTAGAGTAACAACTTATAATGAAGTGCTGTGGAAATGGAATGCTCACTGATCAACAGCATATGGTCCACTGCTTATTGACAGGTGTTGTGTGGGAATGTGAGAAAACATTTTGAAGATGTTAGGAGCGTCACTAATTTGTAAGCTATCACATTCACTCACTTACCTTCTAGCTCCTCTTTTTCATAGTGAATATTGAGAATTGAACTTGTTCCACCTTGATCTACCACAGCCTCCTCATCATGCCTCTGCTGGAGATATAGAAAACAAAGTATTAAACCACAATATTGCTGCTAAATATATGTTGATGTGCCTTAACTAATGCAACAGTCCAACATAACCTCCAGTCTGAATCTCTCAAAGTGCACCTTAACAGTTTTTTCAGTCAAGCTCAGATGAATGCTGGGCGTTGTTGAGTAAAAGCAGATTATTGAGACCAGAAACTTGTTAAATATCAGGAAAGTCAGTTGCATAATATTCCAGATCATGTGATTAGATCTGGTTCAGCAGGTGTGTATAAAATTGACAAAAATCAATGTATTTACTGTGGTTAATGGAACAAATCTGTTGTGGAAGTTGGTTTTAAATTGCACATTTTAGAATACTCTATACAATTCCATTTTTTACTGCATTTTACAATATTCATTAGGCTTTAACAATTCACTCTCTAACCTTTCGTACATGAATTGCTAATCACATTTTTGCTCCTACGGGCTGCTTTTAAAATCGGTCCACAGTGTGGACAAGATGTTGCATTGGATTAGCAACTGTACGACATTCTTCTGAGGGAAGGTGATTGGCCAGAGGTCGTAAGGTCTACAGCACAGGAAATGGCCCTTTGAGCCATTGAGTGCGCCAGAACGTGATCATTGGCACTAACAAAACAGATAGGAAGTGGTAAGTGTGGACCTGCAGTCAGAATTTAGGGACCTTGGAAGAAAATTAGCAAACAGGACTTCAAAAGTAGTAATCTCCAGAGTATGCCCACAGTCATGCACAAGTGAATACAGAAATAGCAGGATAAGACAGACAAATGTGTGGGTGGAAAGATGGTGCAATGACGGGGGCCTTAGATTTCCTTAGGCAGGCTGCACCTGAACAGAACTGGGACTGGAGTTCCTTGTAGGGCATTTTGTTAATGGTCGTCATTGTCAGTGATCATTCGCTAATGGCTAAGATTGTCCACCTAGGAAATTCCATGTCACTGGTCACGGATCTTGTGGGTACTTGTGTGGCTGATGAGCCCAATCCTAAATCCGCACCTCCAGCAACACATGGCAAGGTGTTTCCAGGAGTCAGAATTGGTCGTTGGCCTCAAGATCGCTGGCATTCCTTTTTCCGGTTGCTTATCCATACTTTGCTGACCGGTATTCTCAAAGAATTGTGTCCCATAGTAGAAGAGGTTCCTCCAAGTCAGTTTCTTCTGAAGGAAGGTCTCCCACACATCGACATCTATGTTGCATTTCTTGAGGGAAGCCTTCAAGGAGTCATGATGGCTTAGCGGTTAGCACTGCTGCCTCAGTGGGTTCAATTCCAGCCTTGGGTGACTGTCTGTGTGGAGTTTGCATATTCTCCCTGTTTCTGTTGGGTAGTCTGGTTTCCTCCCACAGTCTGAAGATGTGTAGATTAAGTGGATTGGCCATGCTAAGTTTCCCATAGTGTCCAGGGACATGTAAATTAGGTGGATTAGCCATGGGAAATACAGGGTAAGGGGATGGGTCTAGGTGAGATGCTCTTCAGAGGGGTGGTACAGACTTGTTGGGCCAAGTGACCTGGCTCCACACTGTAGGGATTCTATGAGTCTTTGAAACACTTCCTTTGATCTCCTCTCGTTCAATTCCCTTCTTTGAGCTGGGTAAAGATGATTTGTTTTGGCAGTCTGATCGCAGGCATTCCAATTTGGTTTTAGGTAATCACGGCCTTGATGCTGGTGCTATTGGCTCCTTCAAAGATGATGTTAGTACGCCTGTCCTCCCAGGTGATGTGGAGAATTTGTTTCAAATGGCTTTAACGGTACTTTTCAATTTTTTGATTTTTTATTGTCACAGGTACCAAGATACTGTGACAAGCATTGTTTTGCATGCTAACTAGATAAATCATACCTTACATAAGTACATCAGGGTAATAGAACAGAATGCAGACTATAGTGTTACAGCTACAGAGAAGATGCAGAAAAAGATCAACTCTAGTATGCAACAGGTCCATTCACAAGTCTGAAATCTGTTGGTATGTGTTTTCAAACTTTTTGTATCTTCTGCCTGATGGAAGAGGGTGGAAAACAGTACAAATAGGATGGGAGAGGTCTCTGATTATGTTGGTTGTTTTCCTGAAGCAGCAGGATTCAGATTCAAGGGAAAGAAGGTTGGCTTGTGAGATGGATTGGGCTGTGTTCACAACTCTAATTTCTTGTGGTCTTGGGCACAGCAGTTGTCATATCAAGCTGTGATGCATCTGGATAGGATGCTTTCTCTGGTGCACCTATAAAAATTGCTAAGAGTGATTATGGACATGCTGAATTTTTTTTAGCCTTCTGAAGGAGTAGAGGCATTGGTGTGCATTCTTGACTTTAGTGTCAATGTGGATAGAGCAGGACAGATTGTTGGTAATATTTACTCTTAGGATCTTGAAGCTCTTGACCACCTCCACCTCAGCACCATTGATACAGACAGGGGCATGTCATTTACTCCACTTCCTGAAGTCAATGATCAGCTCCTTCATTTTGCTGACATTGAGGGACAGACTGTCTTTGTACCATGCCACTAAGCTGTCTCTCTTTCTGTCTCATTGTTGTTTGGAGATCCAACCCACTACAGTGGTGGCATCAAAGGGAGAATGTAGGCCCAGGGAGATGGCACCTGCTGTGGATCGATTGTAAGAGTAGGCAAATTGTAGTGGGTCAAGGCAAGCTGGGAGACTGGAGTTGATGTGTACCATTACTAACCTCCTGAAACACTTCTTAACGATGGATGCCAGAGCCACCGGGCAGTGGTCATTAAGGCATTTCTTTGGCACCAGTATGATAGCGGTCTGATCTGATGTTTGTGGCAGTGACTGGGTACAGGTACACCCAACGCTGTCGGGGCAGGCAACATCATTTCACTGATATATCTAATAGCTCCTTCTGATTGTCAGAAGTGGAATCGGTTATGACACAAACACGTTGGAACAATGTCATCACAGGGATATGAAGCAACAAGTGTGTCAGATGTAACAGCAGTGAGGATGACAGATGATGAGTGAAGTAAAAGGAGAATCAGACACTTCTCAAAATGAACTTCCTACAATTTGACAAGCCAACACAGAAATACTGGGACAGTTTGACACTCTGTTCTCATATTTGGAGGTAGAACTTTGAGAAGATCTAGTAAGACCGTGGATGCATCTGTAGAGAAACACTCAGATGTACCACGTTAGCTAGGCATGAGGTGAACGTGGGAGAGTCAGTACTGATGAAACAAAATTGTTATCGGTTTCGCCCAGGAAAGCAAGCTCAGGTAGAGCATAGGAATAGCAGTAGGCCATTCAGTTCCTTCAGTTTGTTCCACCATTCAATGAGATCATAGATGATCTGTGGCTCAATTCCATATACTTGCCTTTGGCCCATATCCCTTAATACCTTTGCCTAACATTTGCTTAGAAGCAAAGATTTGATACATGCTGGAAAACAGTTAATAAAACCTAACCAAAGCAGTTAGAATTCATTAGTAGTGTTGTTTCCTAAACTGGGTGGATCAGATAGGTTCTATAGAAAATGAAATGCAGCCACAAAAGCAGATTTGAACTCAATTCCACGATTAAAAGGTAGTACCAATAGTGTTGACAGTGCCTCTTTTTCTGAGACTGGTCTATTGAGGTGATGCTGATAAGTGTCATTGCCACCACTTTGGTATAACCCATTTAGCGTAACAAATGTCGAGTCATGCCATTTCTGTTGAAGACCACCACCACCCCGCCACCCCAACATTCCAAACACTTGTGAATCAAGTTGTAACTGAAATACCTAACTGTAGTTTATTTAGACAATATTGTAATATAACACATGTGCAGAGCATGTAAGGCAATTAGAAGACCTAATTTTGCAATTGCTGTTAGCAGGCATAGTAATGAATTTCACCAAAAGTGAATTCATAAAAGCAAGGATAACTTACCTCGAACACTGGAATGGAATTCGTCCCAAATGGCTTTGTGGGTTTACCTACAGCACATGTGCTGCAGTGGTTCAAGAAGGCAGCTCACCACCACCTTCTCAAGGGCAATTAGGGATGGCAGTAAATGCTGGCCAGCCAGTGACTCTTACGAGTGAATAAAAAAATTGTAGAACAAGGACAAGAACACAGTGAGAGGGAATGTTCCCTGTTCCAAAAGCAAAAAAGTAAATCATGACATTTTTAATAAAGTGTGGATGTTATTGGAAAGTTGTGTGTAAATTCAGCATATCTGTACCTTAATAACTTTGTTATGAAAACAAGCAAAAGTAGTATTATTAGCTGAATGTCAAGCTGCCTTTGAGAAGCTGAAGTCAGTCCTAATAAATGAATCAGAGTTGGCACCCCTATTTTTTTCCAAACCCTTTAAAAGGCAACTGATTCTGGTGACTTGGAGTGCAGTCTTATTTCAAGATGATGGGTCAGGTGTAGAGAAGCCAGTACAGTAATTTTCCAAGAAACTATAGCAACATTAGAGGAAGTACTCTACAATAGAAATGGAAACTGTTTGATGATTATTGGCTCTTCAATACTTTAAAGTCTCTTTCTGGCATGATAACAAAATAACTATGCTGATAATAGTCATTAGCATGCATTGAAATGTTTAAAACCTGAAATGTGAGACTGTTCAAATAGAGTCTATTGATCCAACTATTCAATGTAAAGATTATTCACATTGCTGGTCAAGATGGTGTGATGGTGAATGCCTTGTCCTAAAAGTAAGATTATTAGATAAGGATTTAAGAGATGATAATTCTAAAAGTCTTTTGTACAAGTGGGGAATGAGGTATAATGAATGTACATCTAATACTTTAGATGTCACACTTCTTGTGATGATATGCATTTTGAAATGGCATTTCATCAGGCAGAAAATACAAAAGTTTGAAAACATGTACCAACAGATTTGAGAACAGCTTCTTCCCTGCTGTTATCAGAATAATGAACAGATCTCTCATATTGTAGAGTCGATCTTTCTCTGGACCTTCTCTGTAGCTGTAACACTATATTCTACAATCTGTTCTATTACTCTGATGTACTTACGT